CAAATAGCTCTGCGCTTTTTTGAATCCTATTGATTTCTGGCGCATAGTGGTTTACCCTTTTGGTTGAATTTTTAGTTAAGAAATCTTACAAGAACAGACAGCAAAGACCATGTATCTTTTCGACGGCATGGTATTAGGAAAGCAGGCAAACATGCCCATTTGCCTTCTGTTTCCCGATATCGTACTACTACGGAATCAGTGTAACCTGCTCTAACCTAACTATTCCTTGCAGAACTGCTACAGCTCCACCACGGCCAAATCGTCGTACTCTACAACAAGCAGTAGCTGCTAGTGCTTATGATGCTGGCAATAGCGCTTCACCGTACTACGGTAGTGGTGGCTACTCAACATCTCCAGCGTACAGTAGTCCCTACAGTACTCGTTCATATCAATCCCCACCGGTGGTTGCACGAAATCTTGTCATACAACCGGATGGATATTTCATGCATGGTGATTTGATTGATTTCCAATTCCTCTACTAATCAATAATTATATTCAACTAACTGATTTGCATGTTGCTAATCCTGCCAAAAACTCGTTGTAGATATTTTTTTCCGTTAGGTCTGTTTTTCTCTCTCGCAGTGTTGAATAAAATAATGTATTGTTTTAACAGATGTATCTCCTGACGCATCGCTGTCACGTCTACGACCACCTCGATCGGAATCGCCATCGACGTCAAGTGGAGTGCCGCAGCTGCGTGTGGATACACATGCCAATAAGGTATTGATTTATGGATTGGAATGTATCAAGCGGTTTGAGCAAATTAGAGTAAAGCAGTCACACCTTTGATCATGCTGAAGAATTTATTAAATCTCTATTTAATTGCAAAATGAGTATTTATTGTGGATCTCTGCACTTCCATCCCTCATCCTTTTTCATTGGTTACCGATTTGAGATGGTAAGAGCTGTAACTTCTATCCAGCAGCATCAAAAATACTTTTGATTATACAGATACTCATACATTTTTCATAATAAGTGAGACTATATTCACTTTTGAGAAGGAATCAACTTAACGAAGTTTTTCTTTTTGCATTATAGTACTCTTATTATCTTATTATCTTTTTGAAAATCACCACAATGCTTCTGTAGCGGGTTATAACATTTGTAGATCCTGATTTTACTCAGTCCATCCTTTTTAGAGCGAGTCCAGCTTGGATAATACAGATGAAGAGCAATCATCCGGTACCACTACTATGAATCACAATCGCAGAGATTCTGGAGTTGGATCAAGCCTATCCAGATCACCTAGGTAGTCTGCAAATTTTCAGAAAAAAA